ATTTTGCGTCACGCCATCACCCGGACATTTTCCTGCCATGCAAATACTTGGCAGCGACGCGAGCAAAGACGTAAATTTTACCGCAGAACAGAAAAGAAAAAGGAAAAAGGAAAAAAAAATATATATGCGAGATTTTACGCTATACCGATCAGGGTAAGGGATATTGTTGGGGTGGGGGGAGAGAGTGAGGGAGGAAGGGGATAGAGAGGGTAAGGGTGAAAGAAAGAGGGGGGGAAAGAAGGAGTGTGGGGAGTGAGTGAGTGAAAGAGAAAGGGGGAAGACAAAAGAGAGAGAGAGAGAGAGAGAGAGAGAGAGAGAGAGAGAGTGAGAGTCATGTAATACCCCATACCAAAAATATCTTTAATTTTCTACTTCACAAAACACAAACATCAGAACGATAGCCCAAGTTTTATTCGTCTACTTATTGTGTCTCTCTCTAGTGCAGCCTACATAATGTACTACACCGTGTTGTACTGTACTATGGCGACCACCCCTACGTCACGCTCTACGTCACCCCTACGTCACATTACCTCACGCTCTACGTCACCCCTACGTCACATTACCTCACGCTCTACGTCACCCCTACGTCACATTACCTCACGCTCTACGTCACCCCTACGTCACATTACGTCACGCTCTACGTCACCCCTACGTCACATTACGTCACGCTCTACGTCACCCCTACGTCACATTACCTCACGCTCTACGTCACCCCCACTGAACCTTTTCTCCTGCCTGTTTGGTCGTGTGAATGACGTTATGTTCCACAGACTCACCTGCCAGTAACAGCGTCAGTGTGTCGGTATTCATGGCTGCTGATCTTGACCATAAAAAACACAGAAATGTAGTTATTGCTGTGGGTGTTTCTTTTATCTCGTGAAATAAACAGTCACACACTCGTCACGTCTATTGGTTCACTTTACTATTGGATATTTCGATCATGTCAACACTTATCAGGTCCAGGACAATTACGTCTGTTTGAGGTGATGTATAGATGAAGACCACGTCATCACATCACTCCCGACGAAGGACTTCAACACGAGCTCCTGGGTAGTGTCATTGTGGGTAGATACTGTAGTAGGTCCTTAACAGTAGGTTCTTAACAGTAGATCCTTAAAAGTAGGTCCTGGTCACTCTCAGCAAGAGGTGTTAGTTGTTATCATGGTGTGGACGGCCAGAGCCCCTGCAGGAGGAAGTACTAGTGACTGGGGGGGTGTTAACTCGTCACAGCCCAGATGAAGGTCCTGTTGTGTGGTAAGACTGAGCAGTAGACCCCCAGCAGGAGTTAAGTCATGGTTACTGTTGATGGTGAATACTGCAGAAGTACCAGTAGAACCTCCTGGTGGTGGTGAACAGTGGCAGGAGTCCCTTAACTCTTAGTGACACTCAACATCAACAGAACCTCCAGCAGTAGAAGTTGTCGTCGAGAGAGAGACTCAGGGAAGCCGTGAGTGGGGGAGGTTGGCGCGAGACTAACTAACCGTGTGTGAGGGGCGGCAGGTGGTGGGCGGTAGTTAGAGTCCTCCACCAGTAGCAGTAGAAGCACCGCCCCACACCACCACCATCACCACAACTCTCACCTGCTGACACTACTCATCTAAGACTCATAATCTCAAGAGACTCGTTTGCTAAAATTTACCTGGACGAAGTTGATTTGAAAACAACCATCACCTGATTCACTACACAAAAAATTGATTCCCAAAAAGTTAAATTACTTCACTAACTGGAGACAAATAGACTGTATTTCTTAACTGGCTCTTAACTCAAACCACAAAGCCAAGAATATCTGAAAATGCTCGATCCAGTCACAGCCACAGCAGGAAGGACCTCACCTAAACGGGGACGTCTCGCCTCACCCTCACCACAGCCGCTGGAGTAAGTGGTGACACACACGGACGGTAATGACCAACTACTGACCCGGGCCATTAGTGTGGTGGTGGTGGTGGTAGGCTGTGGTTGGTGGCTCGGTCGTGGACGGGAGCCTGGGTGATATACTGACACTCTGACCTGCTTTATTAATGGTACTCCTGTTACCCTACGTTCTCTCTCTCTCTCTCTCTCTCTCTCTCTCTCTCTCTCTCTCTCTCTCTCTCTCTCTCTCTCTCTCTCTCTCTCTCTCTCTCTCTCTCTCTCTCCCTCTCTCTCTCTCTCTCTCTCTCTCTCTCTCTCTCTCTCTCTCTCTCTCTCTCTCTCTCTCTCTCTCTCTCTCTCTCTCTCTCTCTCTCTCTCTCTCTCTCTCTCTCTCTCTCTCTCTCTCTCTCTCTCTCTCTCTCTCTCTCTCTCTCTCTCTCTCTCTCTCTCTCTCTCTCTCTCCTCTCTCTCTCTCTCTCTCTCTCTCTCTCTCTCTCTCTCTCTCTCTCTCTCTCTCTCTCTCTCTCTCTCTCTCTCTCTCTCTCTCTCTCTCTCTCTCTCTCTCTCTCTCTCTCTCAGAGTTAGGTTTGAGGATTTTTTTATTATTTATATTATTATTTTCTCTTCAGTCGTCCCGCCATACTGATCA